TGGCTGGGGGAATGGCAGGGCACGGCAGCTGGTTTTGCACTCTCCACCCTGGTCAGCAGCAGGTCAAGCAGAGCAATTAGGTGTACTAATTGCAATCCACAACATTTCCTACAGGGAGGACACCAGCTGGAGTCTTCTCCAGCCATTGGTGCTCATAAAGCTTCTAATATAGACAGGCAGGCAAAAGGAGCTAGGAAAAAACTCCCAAAAAAACCCCACCCCAAATTATTTCCATTGCTAATTGAAATTGAGAGAAAGGGAAAGGGTGCAAATCCAACTTGAAAGAGAAGCCTTTGCCTCTGATAGTCAACTGGGAAAAATAACTTACTGAAGCATTCAAGAATATGAAACACAAGCAAATAAATGATGCTGACAGTCTGATCAAAGGGCTGCTATACAAGAGAGAGCCTCTGTCAGTGCTAGTCCAGCCTCCATGTGCTTAGGAACCTTGCCCAATAAATTTGATGAACAGCTACATGTAATGTAGGAGAAACTAACTGAATTTTGCTCTTGGGATCTGTTCCTGTTGTAAAGTGCTTTCAGACTCCGTAGTCCATTAAAAATACGTTTATCAAAAGATGCTAAAGAGAGGGGCAGAGTAATTTTGTCTCAAGTTCCTGAGTTCATATGGAGGCAAAGGATCTGAACACACAAAGCTGACACAGCAATTGGGTCTGATCTATACTGGAACATTTACTGGCAAAACAGTCTGTGTACTAGTCTCCTCTAGTCAGTTTGTATGTGTGTAGGGCAACTCCTAGACATAAGACACAGCAGAAAAGATAACAGTCTTTACTAGGACAAAAAGCATACTCTGAAATTCAATAATCATACTAAAATATCCCCCAAAACAGGGTATCTTGTGGTTTGTAGACCCCTTGGTGGGCTTAGATAAATACATGTGCAGAGGAAGAGGGAGTTTATAGCTTCTTCATTACTATGTCACCAGCTTTTTTTTCCCCAGACAAATCAAGGCCGAAGAGAGACCTGGTATTTTAGGAAGACAGTTACTGCATCCCAAATCCCTAGAGCACTTGTGCAAGGTGAGAGGGCCCAGTTGTGACCCGAGTGCAGCCTGTCCTTGCCAGCAGTCATTACTCAGCTAGGATGAAGGGTAGAAGATTACTCTAAACTGCATATTGCAGAGTAGGAAGCTGTGAGAGAGCCCACACCACCACCTTCAGAGAGCGCACACAGCACTGAGCCTCAGGAAAACTGAGCAAAATAATCTGTGCAATACCAGCTTTTCCACGCTTGAAACAGCTCTGGAGAGGCAGGGGGTTCCCAGTGGCTATCGTGGCAGCTGAATGAAATTGTCACTTGTGATAAGGCATCCTGAGAGCTGGGGAAAATCCTGGCTCTGTGCCCGCTGGCACAGGTCCCAGTGATTTCACTGGAGCCAGGAGTTTTACTCTGTATGTGAAATGAATTGCCAGGGTGAAGCTGCAAAAATAATGCCTGGTAATGAAATCTGCTTGCAGCAGTGCACCTATGTGCCAGAGCCCTGCTGCGAGCAGGAGTGTTTGCAGTGGCTCTGAGGAACATCGTGTTGTTCCTGTAAAGAGGGAGGATGAGTCAGGAAGTGTGAAGTGCCACTGAATTCATCTAGGATGTCACACAACTGCCCATTTGTAGGCAAACTCACATTTTCCTGGGGGATTTTTTTGACCCACTTTTCTTTTTTTGCTAGCTTTTCCTGAATTCCCACCAACCCCAGAGATGATCCATCAATATCACCATAGCAACAAGACATCATTAATGGTATTTTGCCTATTGAGAGAGTCCACACCAGGCTGAGCTGGGTGGCGAGCCATCGCCATCAGCTTACAGGAGAAAGGCGAGCTCAGGGTCTCTGAGATCTGTCCTTTTGTGCTCCCTCCCCTGCGTCTCCCCAGAGAAGTCCTGCATTGCGCAGTGGCAATAAGGGACATATTTCTTCCCTTAGAAAGTCATGTGCAGTGTATATTGTAGAGAACTGCTGCCAGGCAAAGATGGGGCTGGATTTGGTGCACAAGTAAGGATAAATGTGCCTCTCTTGGGTTTGTTTGCACGGGGCTGTGGCTTTGAGAGACACTTTACATTGCAAATAAGCAACTTATCCTGCAAACCTACAGGGAGTTCAGAGCAAAGCAGGATGCTCGGGGGCCAGGAAAGGGGAACGGCAGGCTAAACTGTGAGGAGAGATAAAAGACATGTCATATAATTCTGTTAAATGGTGAAGGAAGGGAAATTCTCAGCGGGTGTAAATTAGCATTGACAAGCTATGCTGATTTACACCCAGCTCATGGTCTGGCCCACAGTCTAAACAGCTGAAAAGCATCAGCATCCGAAAGGGAGGGGGTTTTTAGAGAGGCCTATGGGAGGAGTTGGGGATTGAGGAGTTGAAAGTCTGCAAAAAAGATGTAAATTCTCCTAGGTAGGTAGGGAATGTTTGTGAAGTTCCCTGGGCTGATGCAGAGCCTGGCCAGCTGCGCCAGTTCCCTGTCAGGACTCTCACTGCCTGGTAGCAGGCAATATGCAGTGTTGGACCTTCTGAGGGCAAATTCCTGAACTGAGGCAGCTGGCAGGTACAGTCCTCCCAGGTTTGCTGTAGAAGCATTGCTAACTACCTCCACACTCAGAGGAATTGGAAGTGCGACTGCGTGTGGCCATCGATGCCCCCAGCCAGGACTGCTGACGCTACTGCCATCCACAGTTCCTCATGCAGAACCTGCCTCTGCCAGCAATATGCTCAAGTGCCCAACAGCTTTGGGATGTGACCCAAAGGTGTAGGATGAGATCATCCACCTCCTTCAAACTCCTGAATGCCTCCTTCCTCCCCCAGGCGTCTCTCTGAACTCACCGATGAGGTGTGCGTTGCTGGCTTGGAAGGACTCTGCTCACCCACCTTCCTTTGATTTTTGTCCTCACTAGTGAGATGAGTCAGGACTTATGTTGCCTTGTTGGAGAGACCAATGCAGTAAGCCGTTAGTGCACTCAAAGTCTGAGGTTTATGGCTCTGCTGCAAAATATGTCCTCCTGGTGCAAGGAAGGGAGCAGAAACTTTTGACTTATTCTTACAATTAATGTGTGATTTCTTTCCTTTTCCCAGTGCATTTTAAGGAATGGGCTGAGACTCTTGGGGCAATGTTAGAGCAAGGAATTAGGAATCCCTTCAGCAGCCCTGATGGATCCAGCTGTATAGGTCTGGTTTTCTGTTGTCTTCCTGGGACTGGTGGAGGCAGTGTAACAGGATATGGGAAAAGTTGTGTTTCTGTCTTCCCTGGTGGTCATTTATTGCTAGTCCAGCCAGGAGTATTTCCACCTTGAAAAAATCTAGCTTCGTGACTCAGGCCCTGCACATCATGTGATTAAAACATGGGTTCAATGATGATGTTAAAAAAAGCCTGACTTTTTTTTCCCATTTAGTATGACTTGGCTTTTTACCTTTTTCTTGCCAGAGAGTGAGTGAAAGTTGCGAGTTGAAAAGCCAATCTGCAACACACAAGAAGAAAACATTCAGCTGAGTGGTTAGGTGAAGGCTCTCTTGATCCTCATCACTTGCTGCCTGGGGAAGGGAG